TCGTAATAATATTAACCAAGTATCTCAAAAAATAMAGATATATCTGTTTAGACACTATATATAGTATCTTAGTCGTCTTCGTATWAAGTTAAAAAACAGGCRAATGCATTGGTTGCGGCACGATATTASCTGAAAATGTGGCGAAACGATCACGATTAACCATTGCAGTAAGAGGTGGTGCATTATCGCACGAAGAATTCACTTCTAAAGCCGCACAAAACGACGCGTATCTCAAATTCTAATGAATATTTTGACTTGAAATTTAGCATGGATGTCATTAACAGTACTACTAATTTACAGAAAAAATTTACCGATTAGAGAAAAATGAGAAGTATAAATTAAAAATTCAACTTGCAATTTGATCACAGTAGTATGTCCGAGGCCAGATAAAATACTAATGAACTACATTCTGGATACCAAATTTATAAATAACAGGATACAGTTGCACTATGTGGAATCCTTTAGGTGTTATTGGAGAAAGATCGAACTAAAAAATATGAAAAGTTCAGGACAAAACGACACTGACTTATTCAGAAGTTTCTGTCTACTTTTTCAGATAACTTATGGCTACTGTAGGCTTTTACGCGTTGATCTCCAGGTCGATTACGGTCGTTTAAAAGTACTGCCACCTTATGATAAATACATTTAAAATATGTTTGAGATGACTTAACATGATAATACCTCATATTAACTATCCTAACATGAAGCTAACTCATTTTCAAAAGAATTTCTTAGTAACATTCAAAGATAATGTTCAACGTTTAAGTTTAACATATATAATATGATAAAAAAATCGCGCGTGTTAAAATCCGAAAGAAAATTGCTATCTTCGCGTTCAACTAATTTGAGGATCGAAATCATGTATACTATATGTGTATGTTATGGGTATTTACATATATCTGATTACAAATGATCGCGTAATACATCAGGTAAATCAAAAATTTCAGAATTAGAAATTTTTAAATTCAGAATTTTATGGTTATAAGCCCYATCTAATGTACAGAATTTAATATTTTTGTGTTATATATTTGAAAAATTAATACAGTTTTATTATGAGGATGAAATAATATGTTGAAGCACTATTTTGCGATCGCGACTCATCTCTTAAAAGACACCTTTAAATATTGCCTGCTTAGATAATATGGCATCCTTTGAGTTGGACGTTGATCTCATAAATTAAATCAGCTTTTGAAAAGGTACGGCTTCGCATAAAAGTAATATTTTTTTAAATMTTTTTMTTTTTTATTTTTGTTATAAGTATCTTACTGTTGAAGACCACGCGCACTTTTTAAAAAAATTGTTTCAGAGTTACAACCATTTAATAACTTAGAACGTTTGGTTGTGGACTTAAGCGAAAGCAGACATTTTGTTTAGTAAAGGTTTCACTGTGACTTATGTTGTGAAATAGGATTGGGAATGAGTTTAATTACTGGCATATCGTCTGCGGATTATATTGAATGTATATTAYGTTTACATATACTCTTATGTATGTACCTACTTTGATAGCATTCCAAGAGGACAATAAATTCGTTGGTGTCGTGACACTGAAAAATCAAGAAACGATCACTTTTGCTTTTTTTGCTCCTTTCAATTAACTGTTATTAACACTACTAAAATGCACACATTTACTGTTGATTTTAAATTTAAAAGAACAAACGACAATGATTGTTACGTTTGTTTCCTTTTATGTTGTTTCCTTTTTTGGCAGTAAAATTCACTTTAACTGTTTATGCTATTAGCAAAGCACTCAAAACATTCCAATTGAAGCCAAAATTGAGTCGGAGATTTGTAGATACATGTGTAGTTTGGAATCTCATTAAAATTTTTCTCTTTTTAAACAAACCAAACACTTAATCCCCTTTAAAGGTGCTATGTTTACCGTTATTTTTTGTATTTCCAAAGATATATTCTTTCAATTTATTCGGCTGCGTTAACCAATGTAACCGTTAAATATAGCTAAAGCGCAATGTGGCAATGGTTGCGAACAGCACTTTCGATTTCAAATTGGCACACTGTCAATCAACGGCGATTAAGTATGGCTCATGCCAAACCCGACAACGCACAAATACACGTGTAAACTTTTTATAGCTGTTTTTTTACACAGTGGTTATATTTGAATTTGAAAGATTTCAATTACTCTCTAACAGTGAATATCCGTATGTAACGAACCTTCTTAGCGCGCGCGTCTGTAATGACTGAATTTCCTCGGCAGCACAGCAAGTCGAGCCAAGTGTCCGACATGGGCCACCAATAAACAGAGCACCGGAGCAGTAAAGAGCAAATGCAATGCATACAGCGTCGACGATGACGATGGCGACGGCGGTGACGTTGTCGGTGGTTCTGGCGTTGGCGTTGGTGGTGCTAGCGGTGGTGGCGTCAGAGTGTTGTTGGTAGTCAGTGGCTGCGGCAACAGCATAATTTGTTCGTCGGTTGGCAAGGGAACGCGTGCCATTGAGTCGAACAGTCAGCGAGMAAAAGCAGCTGGTTGCCACACATRCACACTCACATATGTGTGCTGTTRTTGTAGTTGTCGCTTGGTTCTTGCTGTCATCGTGTAGGGCAAGCGGGCAAAATAAACATCTCATATGTGTGTAACTAGGCAGTAGGTAGCGTTCGTCTCTTGCACCCGGCCATCGCTTTGGAGCATAAATTGAGAGCGCCGTGAGCGTACTGCGTGTCAGCTATAATTTTGTTTTCAATTGAGTTGCACAGTAAATGCATTACAGCTGCCTTTTGTTATTGCTGTGCCATTGTTGTGTTCCAAATTTCATTGCTGATAAGAGTACATAAAAAGTCACAGAGCGGTTTGACAAGCCGGCTAAATTTGATAACAGCTGCGCTGACGCTCAGAGAGCAAGCGCTCAATGTGCACGGCAGAGAGATTAGACAAGCAAATGAGACTTGCCACAAGTGAACAACATTTATTTAGCAGCGGAGAAAAAGTAGAGCAGTGCGTGAAAGAGCGAAGAACAATGCTAAAGTGGGCCAGAAGCTAACATTTTTCTGGGTCAGGCGCTGTTAGAAACTACTGTACTTACTCTAGAATGAAATTTTATTATAAAAGCAGCTGTAAATGTTGGACGCACTGCAAATGCGCTGTTGTTGAATTCGCCGCAAGTAAGCGTCGCGCTCTTACAGCTGCGAACTCTGTCAACGTTTACATTTCTTGCAATAACTGTTATACAGATATCAAATAATGTTAACTTAGCACTACTCAGATCCTTTACGAAGAGCAACCGTATGTTATATGTTCTCTGCATTAAATAGTCTCGCGTTTAAACATCCCCAAATCTAGAGGGAAGCTTTATCGTTGYGTGAAACTCTCTGAACGACAGGTGCTAACGCTAAAGAAACCTTGCAGTAGTTCATTTGAATAGGTGCGCGTGGCATTAACACCTGTTACGATGTCTTGTTTAAATTGAATGAGGCCTCTTGAGGTTATCGCTAAGCAGCCAATTCTACGTTGTTTTCTAGAGTTAAAAAAAATTATTCTAGATTTTACTCCATCATAACGATTATAGTGTATTTTTTAGCCCTATGCTCGTGTRTATCTACATATATAAATTTAAATAAAAAGCAAAAGTCCGACTGTTTTACCCAGTATTTTTTTGAAATATAACCGATGCGGAATGAATAGATTTCGTCTCACTTCACAATTTTTTTTTTTTGGAGACCAACTATATCATCGAATTAATTAACTGCTATTGGCGAGTTAGAGCACATAAATGATAAGACAACTTCATTGTCAAAATAACCATGAAGCTAGGATGAACCTCCTGAAATATTGGTGGTTAAAAAATATTTAAAAGTTTGTTTAGAAACGCAAGAATTTTAATCATATAACAATCGATTCTCTGCGGATTACAGTTAACCAAAGTACATAGAAATTAATGTCATTAAGTAGCGGTTACAAAATATCGTTAATCATATCTTTGTATCAACCACTGTTGACCAATATGTTTAACATCGACTAAATTTAATTCTAWTAGTTTCAGTGATTCCTCTTAAAAAGAATAATTATGCTTATATCATACAACTACAACATCGTGTCTCGTTCTTAAATTATCTTTAATATTAATATTTTATACCGCCGAATTTTTCCACAGTTTTAAAATCCTTTCAACTGCTGTCATGTACTGCAAATTTAATTAATTAAGGAAGGGATAAGTTCAAGTGTAACGAACATTTTATACTACTGCAACTCGTAATTCAGGCCCTGGTCAAATTTTATATTAAAATTTTTTGCTTAATTCTTTCGCATTATTTATTATTTGAAGAAATTGTGAGTCAATTACCATTAAATTGGGATTATTCGACTTAGTTTTATTGCTATATTTAAGTTCGCGTCAGGGAAAATTATTTAAAATGTATCGTCAAATGAGATATGAACGATTTTAATTGATATATAAACCACTCAGTTCTTAAAAAGCGTTTCCATTTAGTTTTACTAATATTTAACACATTTTGACCAAGGATTTTGACAACAGTTTACAATTTTAATATGGACAACCAAATACACGGGGTGGTTGTATTAATTTTGATGTTGCTCAGGTGTACTTGATAATAAATCATATTTTGAAACAATTTTATACGTATTTATCGGCATAAAATAGGAATAATGAAAATCATTAAAAGTAGTATATGTAAGTCGTATCACTACTAATATGCCAAAGACTAATTAAGTGTTTCCCGGGTTTCATTAAGGTACCTAACATGCAATCGCCAATCTTATGGAATAAAGTCAACCGGATATTCGAAAAAAATTAGGTATATAAGGGCTAAGGGAAGTATTGATCCGATTCAACAAGATTTTTTATACACGGAGATACTATTATTAGGAAAGGATTATCGCTGCCTTTCAATTATATATCTCACATATTGACCGATAAATTGGGTCAAAAGTCAACTATAAGTACTGTGGTCAACGGATTCATCTGKCGTATTTAGTTACTGATTTATATGATCTTACCTACATTAAACCTATTAGAGAGCGAGGCCACGCCCTTTTTTTAATATTTAGAAACTTATTACTGCGATCTGCTGTGCCAGATTACAGTACTTTATCTTAATTTGGTGCGTAATGCGGACGGACAGACAAACAATCTCCAGAATTTTAACCACCCTCGTTATAATGATCGTTTATGAATATATTATATAACCTTATGTTTATCTACATACAACCGTTATATGAAAAAACCTATAATACTCTGTAGCAACAGGTTGCAAGAGTATAGCAAGGTTAGAGTTCTAAAAATCAATTGTGTTAGAATTTATATAGTTTATGAAATTATAAGTAAGTGCTGAAAAAAAATTTATATTTGATTTTTGAATTCTGTGTTCAATTTTAAAATAGTTTTCAAATCTTCTTTCTTTCGAATATACCAATAATTGGGAGTTTAATTTTCGAAATAACATTTAAATAATAAGCAAACATGTAAAAAATTTCATAAATAAATAAGTTACAATGATTTTAAATATTAAATTCTTACCTACCTTTATAATTATTTTAGAAWACATCTCCTCTTATTTAAGAGCGATTAGTTTCTCTACTTTTGCTCGAATAGTTCTGCATAGAGATTAGTGGAAACCACTAGTTAGTTTCATTCTAGTCAATAGCGAACAAATGTTTGCTGAGAAGGTCTTCRTATTTTAATTTAATGTAAATTTAATTCTAGTTTAGGTGAAGYTTATTTCGACACGAAGTCGAGTCGACTAATTATTTTACTCAAAAGCGATGCTTAATGTCACAATGTTGTACTAATGTTGGCATATAAGTTAATCTTAAGCGGGAGAACGTGTTAACGCTTTCATKGAGTTCAACGAGGAATTACTAGGGCAGTGACTCCGGTCAGATCAGAAAATTTTAAAATAATGTAAAAAAAAAGTAACCATTTTATTCAATACCTAAAATATATTTTTATGCATACATACATAATTYAAATAATTTTCTTAGTGTCAACTTTCTACGCTACGGCATACAAATTGAATGTACAAAAATGTTTCATACTTATAACTTTTAAGCATCTTATGCTTATGAATCTCTWTGACTTAGATCAACTTTTGAACTTAAGAAATAACTTTAAACATGRCAACATTTATCACTCGGTGGTAAACAATACTTTTGTTTGTTTAAGTGACAGATATCAACAACTCGGCTGAGATAAGCAAAAAAAAAATCGCACATCTTAGATAATTTTTATTTGTTTTGACACGCCTTGTTAAAATACGCTGCAGTTGTAATATTATAAAATTTGTATAGTCTTGCCTCACTTCTCCTTGTTATCAATCTTCAGCTTATTAAGGATAAGATTACGTACAACTGAAGAGAGGCACACAAAAGGATGCGCTGCATGATTTCGTGCCGCGAGTAAACAATGAATGGCGAGGAATGGCAGCCAGCATTCAACATCAACAATAGCTGAGTGAAAAGACGGCAACTGAGAGATCTACAGATACACACACACGAATTCAGGCGTTAGTAGACAAGTACTTACACAGTCTTACAAACATTCCGCTTGCAAGTGTCAAGGATTGAATTTTACGACARACACTCGAAAATGATAAGAATGCCTTTACTTAATTTATATGTATGAAAGAGAGGCTCACATATTTGTTGTTACAAAGTGTGGGCGTTCGACGAATAAATTTGACTAATCTGTTGAAAAACGTCGGTTTCCAATAACACTTCAAAACATCCTTCCACTCAAGTCTCTGTGTAAGTATTTTAATGGAATATGTAATTGTAGAACATCTTTTTCACAGCGTCCACGGGATTTATTGAACTGTCGATATTTGAGTAGGTCAAACYGAGGGAATGAATGGACATGTGGTCATGAAGAAAAGTCGGCCAAATGGCGCCAAAATGTCCAAATAGTAGTCTCGTTTCAATAAAGGATCAAATTTGTTTACGACAAACAAACCACACACAGAACTCAATRTTGATGCCCATCTGAGAATTTATATGTATTTACTTGATATTTGCAGCTCCTGAACAATGCATGGTGTACAAATGTGGTGATATGGGAACCTTTTAAACAACTGTTGTCTTGTTACTTTTGGTATTATAAAGAGAGATGTTTTTACTTCTAAACTAAAGTCTCTACATATGCACGTATTCACAGTAAAATACATATTTATGCTAATTTTGTTTAGTTTTTTTAGAA